TTTATTTACTTGTCATTAGGTATTTTCACCTGAAATCGAAGCATCTGAAAGAAATTTTGCTTTCTTAAAACTCGTTCCAACGAATCGTGCATATTTCATTGCCGCCGTAAATTTAACTTTGCGAATGTTGATGCTAATAATTTTCAAACATCCATTACTTCGACTCTGCGGCGTCTCCTCAATATCAAATGATTACATGAGTTATTACAAATGTGATTCACTTGACTGTTTGCCATTTCTGGTTGTCACAGAACCGCCATATATATCCATGTAACAAAGCTAGCAACAACAGATCATACCCGCAGGACCCTTCCAGCTGCTCTCATTCACGTAAAGTCTTGTCATCGCACATTTTCTGTTTCACACATTTTTTTAATTTTTAATTTGTTTTGCTTTTCCTTTTTCTCCAATTTTTTTTCCAATTTTCTTTCATTTCCTTTTCCTTGCCCTATCTTCTCGTTGTTTCTCTAATTTTTCTCCGTCACAGTGGTTCTAGTATAAGCTTACTGATCTCTACGACAACGATATATTCGCCGCATGTTTTAATTTGTGCTGAAGAAGGAGCGCCGTTCTGGGTTCCAAAAGTTTCACTTATAAAATGTTTCAAACCTTGTTTTGTCGTACTCTGTTGCCCTAAAATCCTGTACCATTTTGAAACATACCGTCCCAGCAGTACGGTCGAAAACTGCTTCACTGTGTAAATCATTGCGCACACTGTTGGAAATCATAGGACCATTTGAAGAACTCTGTTGTGTTTATAACTACTCGTTGAAGATATCGTGTAATCCCTATCGGTTTTCAACTTGATTACATTTGTGGTTCATCTGATGACAGCAATCTTCAATTGTGCCATGAAGTTCATGAAGGCCTGTTTGAATAACAGCTTTGCTGAGAAGGTGAAACTCGAGAAGAACATTGATGAACTGATAAAAATGGTTTCCAGCGTGTATCCGTTTTGATTTTTTTTTCAGATACAAGTGAACGTGGAGTTAAACTTCTCTGCAATATATGAACAATATCAAGATCCAACAGAACAGGAAGGTTAATTGGCTCATTTTCTCGCATTCTGCCTTTACAACCCCAGAGTCTTTCGTCTGTCTCCGACCTCTGCCGACTTGCAGTTGACCCCTTTCTCTAGCATCAGCGTTCTGCCATTGTGGAGCATGCTGTGACCCATCATCACAACATCTTATGGGACAAAATGAAAGGCGTCAC